CGTTGTGTAACTGCTGGAAGTCGACAAATCCATCTTGAACCCATTTGTCTCAATGCTGTATTGTTCATTTCATCTCAGTAAAAAACTTTACATTCCCCACGTTTGAGGCGTTGAGGTTGGTTATTGTTTACCCATTGTTGTGCATGGTTATATCCTCTGTTAAAGAATCTTTCACCTTGGTCCATATAGTGTCCTGCTTGGTTATAGTAGTCATTTGCTTTGTTATAATAGTTTCCTGCTTGTCTTCCTACATTGTCCATCCATCCTTGAACTTTTCCTCTGTTTCAGGATTTGGAATAAGATTTGTTGCATCTCGTGCTACATCCCAACCTTTCTGTACAGTTTGTATAATAGGTTGTGCTTTCTCTTTAAGTATACCTAATGTACTCAAAATCTTCCTTCCAACTCCAAATACACCTCTGGCTATTGTTCCAACTGCGGGCAAAAATCTGGATGCAACTCCTGCTAATGCGCCAAATAAACCCATTTCTTATAGGATAAAAAATGACGAATCCGAACAAGTACCCCTATGTTTCTAAAGCAACAAAGAAAGCACTCATGATAAAAATCTTTAGTTCAACACCAAATGCTTGGTTTATGGATATCTTGGAAAACATTCCGAGGTATAGAGAAGATGGACCACCATACTGGCTAATATTTGTCGGTCAAAACACAAGATACTGTGAAGCCATACCATTACAGTCCAAAGCTATTTTAGATATCTTAGCAGCTTTGACAATATTCGTTGACAAATACCATCCAACAAAACTGACATCTGACTGTAGTTAGTATGGGTTAGTTGGGTATGGTGGCACTGCGTTCCACCATACCCAATACTTGTGAATTTGACACTTTACGAAACCGGTAACGTATATTTTACAACACAAACACAAACACTAACTTAACCTTAAATATTTACAAAACCACCACCCACTTCACTTCACTAACGAACTCACTAATGTAAAAATAAACGTTCTCACTATCGTTCTCACTAACAACTTCACTAATGTTCTCATAAATTTTCCTCAATATCTTCATCATCAGTGTTAACCCTATTGTAGTCATACTTGAAGCCATAAACTTTCTCTAACTTCTTAACGTACAATTTACATAACTTACCTTCGTCATCGTATGGTTTAATGATATAACTATTTCTATCTTTATAAACAGTCAATGAAAAGTCAACTGGTCTCGGATGTATTTGAAAGAACATGTTATGCTCAGGAAGGAAGAATAAATGTTTAAATGTATGTTTGTTATACTGTGGAATTCGAATGAGTTGCTTTTGTTCTGTCATTTACATCCAAATAAAAATTTTCAGTAAAATAAAAATAAACTTAAAATTAATGATATCACCACCCTCACACGTATGAAAACATAGCAAAAAATAAATTTAGTGAAGTGGTGAATCTCACCTCTTTTTTCACCTCTTTTTTCACCCATTGAATTCATTGCTTTATAACTCTCTTCCTTTCTCCAACTCTTCTAACTTCTTCTTAAGTTCAGCAATGTTGTCCTCATGAAGTTTAATCTTCCTTAAATATTCCTTCTCTATCTAATGGTTGCTTTATCTTTCTAAACTGAACTCTACCATCCTTCATAGTATGAACGTAAAAACCTTCTGGAACCGCTCCTGATTTAATGTATTCTACCAAAAACTTTTGTTTCATTGCTTCAGTGACTTTAGTCGTCATTTCAATCAAATAAAAATTTTAATATTAAATAAAAATAACGTTATTTTTTCAGTAAGGAAACGCAGGAGTTTTACGATTTATTTGAGGAGTAGGTTCTGGTTTAAATGTTGGAGTCGGTTTAGGAGTTGACTTTTGAACAGGAGTTTGTACTTCCATAGGTTCAGGAGTCATTGAAGGTTTTGCTTGTGAAGGTGTTGGAGTTTGTTTAACTTCAGCTACTTCAGTATTATTTACAACATTTGCTTTATTTCTTTTCAACATCATAACTGCTCCTGCTGTAGCTAGCAAACCTAGTGGGAGACCATATCTTATATAAGGACTTGACCAAATGCTATTTTTGACAGGAGCTGGTGGAACACCTAACCTTGGTGAGACTGCTCTTTGCCATTGTGCAGCTCGTAAGAAATATTCAATAGGTGCTCCATAATCGTTTGGTAAAGTTTGTTTCATAGATGGTGAAGGTTCACGAGAGCTTGATGAAGAACTCATTTATAAGCTTTAAAAATAAACGTTCATCCTTTATTCCTCACTGTCGTCCGTGCTAAGTTATAGTCATCTAATCTTATTATTGGGATTCCATTAGCACGCACCTGAATGGCAAAGCAACAATCCCTCATAAATCCAATAAGTGGCTTTGGTACGTTTTCAGTTGCTAGTTCAATAGGTCCTTTAACAGACAATTTGTATGTTATTGGAGCAGTAGATGTTTGACCTTGCTGGAAGCAAAAGTCCACTTCTGTTGGAAAACCACATAAGAAATGTGTGTTGTCATAGCTATCCCATTTATGTTCCACACTACCATCATCCACCAATGACCTCATAACATCTTCATTAAATCCTATCATATCATTGTTTGTATTGCAAGCGTTCGCAACCATTTCATAAAATACAGGTCCATATGATTTTTCAGGTTCTGCAGGCATATTTCCATAAGCTCCCATGGAAAGCTGAAGATATTTAAACTTAGGGTTCTCAAAATTAACATAATAGTTGTCTTTCTTTCTAAATAGTGCCCAAATACTTTTAACATTAATAGGCGTATAAGCTGCTGTAAATGTTGCACTTGAACTATCTGTATTCTTTGAGAATGAACCGTCCATAGGAATCCAATCCATAACTTTAACAGGAAAACATAAAGCCTCGTTTGTATAATGTTCTACAAGTTCTGTATAAATGTTAGGGTCTAAAGAGAATGACTTTGGATGAATGAAACATTCATTAAAATCCATCTTTGTTCGAAATAGTTGCTGGGTTACAGTTGTAATAGTAACTGTTCCACTAGCTTCTACTGCCTTCGTTATCATAGTGAATGGTTCATTCCATGGAACAAATTTATTTGTCGGTGGATTTGAATCTGAAGCAAATGCAACTTTAAGAGTTGGATTGAAAGCAATGATATCATTTACAGATATAGATGTGCATTGTAAGGCGTCGCTACTGAACTTTACTTTAAGCTGAATGTTTCCTGCAAAAGCTGGAATAAATCGAATAGCTTCTAATGGAAGGAATCTTCTAACAGGAATTCTTAAACGAAGCTTAAAATCAAATGATTTTCCTGCTGTAATTGGACCACTAACAATTTGTCCTGTTCTGCATGTTCCCGAATGACTCCATACATCTTCATGTCGAGTCTTTGAGAAAACATCTACTTTCTTTATTTGTTCGGTAGTTTGTGAGTTTGAAGTTATATATGCTTCTTCTCTTGCGTTGTCTTGAGAATATACGATACGACCATTTGCAAGGATTTGATATCCAGCAACTGCATAGAAAGCGTCATCGAAACCAATCCAAAATCCTGGTGGGTTTGTTTTATTGGAACCTGAACCAATTTCTTTATCTACAATAAATTGACCTTCCATTTTATACGTAATGAATGTATTGTAAAGGTCCAACATATTTTCACCAGGAGGTGAGAGATTGAATGTTACCCATGTGTTATCTTTAGCAGTTCCAGGTTGTGATGGAATCTTTGCGTCAGAATATTTTCTATTAGTGTCACCAATTTGAACTGCATTGTCTATGATATCGAAATATGAGCGAATCTGATGAATATGCTCTGCTGGAGTAAATTCGTTTAACTGTTCGTTCTGCATGTATTTACTTCAGATAAAAATATCTATTTACTTCATTATTCTCACTCTTCTTCTTGGCATTCGTGGTGGAAGTTGTTTCTTGACATTTTCAATGAACTGTACATTCTCTTTTGTCTCAACTTCTTTCACTGGCGGGTCAGGGTTCTTTGACTCGGTTTGTTTTTCAATGAAATTCACGAACTTTGCAATAAGCTCTTGGTTCGTTATTGAAAGTACATCTGGCTTCTTTTCTTCTGTTCTATTGACTTTTCAGTTTGAACAGAAGGTTTTATATGGGCTTCGTGGACTTCACCCTTGCCATGCACCTTAATGTTGTCGCTCTCTGCATTCGCTAATGGAACCTTTCTTTTTCTTACGTATATTTTACCATCTTTACTCTGACTTACGTAATAGAAAGGATGTTGTATTCCTCTTGCGTCATTTAATATAATAGACTCTCGCTCTGATTTTGACAAGCTCATTTTACATCGGTTAAAGTTTTAATTTTGTTTTTTATCTGCAGTCAAATGACTCAGACAAGCCCTACGGACAAGACCCAAGGGTCATAGATGTTGAAGCATTGAAGAAAGAAATTCGTGAGCAAATTTTATCCGAACTGAAGGAACAAAAACAAGAACAAAAGCCAGAGAGACCAAAGAGAAAACTTAGTGAAAAACAACTTGCTGCATTAGCTGCTGGAAGACAAAAACCCACGTTTGCTGGCAAAAAAGCTAGAGAAGAAGCTGAAGCAAAGAAGAAGCAAAGAAGCTGAAGCAAAGAAAGAGTAAATGGTTTATTTTTATCCGAACTAAATGTATAGACAAATACCTTTATCTGTTGCGTTCAGTAGTGAAAACCCTGACGTCAAAATAAAGGGGAACAGAGTAACGTTTAAGTTTCCAACAGACTGGATTGTGAACATAAATGAAGAGAAGTACATTGGCATAACATCTATGTATATAACACGTGCTTTCAGAAAGGTTGACTTTATACTTCAAGTCGAGATAGAAAATGACGAACAGTCTTTAAGCGCCCAAAACATTCACATATACAAATACTTTAAAGACGATACAACATTGTTGCAATGTATGATTTCATTTAATGAGATGTTCGAGAAAAAGTTCAACATTGAAGTACAAACTTTACAGCCTTTACGTGAGTTTCTTGCACAACTGAAAGAAGAAGGTAGTCAGCCACAACTTATAGACTTTCATTATGAATTTAATGAAAATGAAGATGGAACTCATGACTGTCAATTCATTGTATTCTCACCATTCAATGAAGTCGCTAAAGAAAAAAATCCATTACGTATAAGATTTCAAATCTCCGAACCAAGTGATGATTTTAAGAATGTTTTCAATTATGATGCAATGCTTCCGAGGAAAAATGAATTTTCAAAGATTGTAACACCTGGCATTTGGGATAGAAAGCAAGCTATATTATATTAAACTTAAGTAAGGCGAGTTGAAAATGAGTTCATTGGTCATACAAGAACTTCACCACTTCCTAACCCTAAATACTATAAATTAACTGGCTTCAATCGTGAGTTTTGGATAGACATGTTCTCCACTCATGACCATAAATGTCCAGTGTTCTTGCCTCCAGACCATAAGGACTGTCTCTACATTGAAGCACAACTCTTAAACTCTACCATCGCAGTATTGTAAAATCTACGCTAGCTTTATTTTTATCACGAATGACCTCATTCATGACCTCATTCATGACCTCATTGCTGACAAAAATAAGCCGCTAGCGGCAAGGGCGAAGCCCATGACCTCAGAACTTCAACTTACGAATAAAGCTTGTTTTAGTCGTTATTGAAAAGTTGAACTTTTCAGCAAAGCAAGGTTGACATGACTTACATAAGTCGAATGCAATCTCTTGACCATCATAAAGTGCTTTGTAAAGTTTCATTAAACTGAACTCAGAGTCTTTGTCATATGTTCCAACAGGTATGTGAATGTTCTTATCTTCATTGTAATAGCATTGTATAGCTTCAGGAAACATTTCATTAGCGGTTAAAGCAATAACATCTTGCTTCACGCCTTTCATTCTGCAGTGAAATGCAACTTCATTTAAATCGTTAGTGAGTAAGTCTATGTAGGTCTTCTTTCCACAGAAAATACTTTTATAAGCTAAACTTTGTTTTCCAGGTGTTATTTCTGCAAAGTCGCTATGAAATTGACCAAGGTTCTTTCCTATAAGTTCGCGACCATATCTCTTCTTAAACTCTGCTGCAAGCTTTGGGATGTCTTCATTATATAAGTGCATACTGTCGGTATCCTGGTAAAATATTTGAAGACCCATGTCCTCTGCAGTACAGAATACTTCATTCATAATACGTTTTGACATAGACAGAATATTAACACCAAGTGGACAGAAGTTAAAGTGTCTGCAAATGCTTTTCGTTAGCTTGAAAATAGTTTTATCTGAACCATCCAAACCTTCGAACTTCACTATATGGTTGTAATTTCTTATAGCATATCTTATAGCATCTTTGTCATTTACTATGGTTATTTTTGACTCAATAGGAGATAGAATAGTTTTGCCATAAATGCTGTTCAGAATGAGTTTTATAATTTCTTGTAAGGGGTTTCCTTCTTTCTTATACTTTAACCTTAACTCAAACAACTTCTTTACTTCATCTCTTATTCTCATATCTCTGTTTCCATCGTAATAGTATCCTTGCAACACTTCACATTTGACACCTTGATATTTTATGAGGTCTTGTAATGTTATATGGTCAACATACATGAGACAGCAAGTGTTTGAACTTCTTGGAACGTTAAGTTCTGGATTTAGTTCAGGGTCGCAAACTATTAAATGAAAGTGTCTGGGTATACCAATCTCTGTTATCTTAATGAGAACAAAGAAGCCAGACATAAACTTTTCACCAATGGGTTCCTTTTGGTCATCATCGAATAAATGTCTCATGAGATACTCTGTGCTTAACATCTCATCCTTCAATACTTTTGGAATACCTTCTAAAGTATAAAGTCTTGCTATAGCTGAAGGATATAATGAAACAGTGTCGAAGTCAGCAATGAGTTTCTTTTTGCTCTTTTGTTTCATGTTATCTGACAACATACATCTTCCACCTTGAATGCATCTCGAAATAAATTCTCTTGGTTTATTTGAGAGGTCATAAAGATTTCCATTCGGGAAGTATACTCTGTTCTCAAACAATTTGTTAGCAATAGAACAAATACTAACGTAGTCATAAACGTTTAAATCAAACTCTTTCAATAAGTCATTGCGGAACTTTACAAAACCTTCTCTTAAAATTCTTACATCTTGTTTGCAGTAAAACGTGCTATATTTTTCTAAGTCGAAGTGGTTTCATCTATTCTGCAACCTTTGATGGAATCTATGTTCTTC